TGGTGCACTCCTTTAATCCCAGCACTGGGAGGCAGAGCCAGGCGGATCTCTGTGAGTTCGAGGCCAGCCTGGGCTACAGAGTGAGTTCCAGGAAAGGTACCAAAGCTGCACAGAAAAACTCTGTCTCAGAAAAAAACAAAAACAAAAAAGGAACAAAACTATATCATATGCAGGAAAATGGGTGGACCTGAAGATCGCCACGTAAAACAAAACAAGCCAGACTCAGAAAGACAAACATCACACTTTCTCTCATATAAGAAATCTAGCCAGGTGGCAGTGGCACACTCCAGCCAGCCATATTAGAGATCCCTACATCCCAGCACTAGAGGCAGAGGCAGGTGGATCTCTGTGAGTTGGAGGCCAGCCTGGGCTACAGAGTGAGCTCCACCACCACGTCGGCCTGCAGGCCGCCATGCTTCCTGATATGATGATAATGGACTAAACCTTTGAACTTAAACAACCCCAGTTAAATGCTTTCCTTTATAAGAGTTGCCGTGGTCATGGTCTCTCTCCACAGCAATAGAAACCCCAACTATGACAGAGAGGAAGAGTATGGGAATGACTATGATGAGCTAAGCATAGTGACATATGGGTTTGAAAATATCATAAAGAGACCAATAACTACTGGGAAAAAAAAGGAAATAAAAATTAAAAGGAACCCACTATGTACTGTCCCAGGTTCTTACCACAGTGTCCAGGGCCCGGACACCTGAGTAGTGTAATGAGGCTGGTAGGGTGACCAGGAGCTGGGCTTCGTGGGCGTCATCGCCATCTGCCTGAGGCTGGGCCGGATCCGAGGGCAGGTTGGTGACCGTCAGCTCCAGGCCTATGAACGGCTGCCCACTCAGTGCAAACAGGGCCCTTGTTCCATCCACGTCCCTGGAGGACGGGACCCAGCTCAGTGTAGGACCTGAGCCTCCCAGCACCTCCCCGCTTCCAGCCCCCAGTCAAGTGCAGACTGTCACGCCAGGCCCCCAAACCACACACAAACCAAACCAAACAAACTCTTTCAATGCACCAATGCATCAGGAGACCTCCATTCTTACGCTAACTCCACCACTTTCTGTACCAACAGCGGCCTCTCTGGGCCTCTGATCTCCACCCACAACAGGGAGCCAATCATCCCTACCTCACAGAGGGGTGAACACTGTGATGGCGTGTCCATAAAACACACGGTATTATACAGACTAGGAACACTGTTCTCTGGCCAGGACCCTGTGGTCCCATCCCCCGGCCCTCACCTTGGTCTTCTGAATCAGAGCCCTTGTGTGACCCCTCTGAAGAGGCTTCCTGCATTTGCTGAGGCCTGGCCCTCTCCTCCCCGACACACACACACACACACACACACACACACACACACACACACACACACACACACACACGCTCTCCACCCTTCTCACATGGGCAGAGGCTGGAACTCGGTGTCGCTGGTCCGGGAACAGAATCGGGCCTGCACCAGCTGCAGGTTGCTCTGACAGATCTTATCTTCGCCACAGCCTTGCTTCAGGAAGTGGATCTGAGGAGAGTGTTCAGGAGATCATGTCTGAGGTCAAATGTGTCACCGAGGCATACGGTGCCTTAGAGACACATGAGATTAAACAACTCCGGGCTGGTCCATAGGCAGACCACATTCCCCAGTCCAGACTGTACACACTAGATTCCACACAGAGCCTGTGAAATACAGTGAAGGCTACCACCACTGGGGTGCCGAGAGAGAATCACGCAATGAGCCCTAGCTGCCCCTTCCAGCTGAATGGGAGAGAGGTGATTTGTCCATCTCAGCAGATGACGGGGCCTTGATTATCCCAGGACCCTGAGCGACGACAGGGAGTAAGGGAGCAGGAGCACTGTCCTCTTAGACTAGGAAGGAGCACACGGCCATCTGACCTTTGAGGTATTGCATCACCTACATTATACAGCATTTCACCGGACTCCATGTGTGGGAGGGCTTTGCAAGAGGCAAGTGGGAGGCACCAGGACCACTGGCCCTCCCAGCTCCACTTCCCCCATGCTCACCTCTGTCCTCTGGGTGCTGGGCTGGTGAGCATTGAGGATGGGAGCCACAGGGGGCAGCCCCTGGCCGGGAGCTTGTCGCCGTAACCGAGGGGTTTGGAGACTGTACAGCAGGGTCACCACAATGGCCCGAAGCTTGTCTTTGACATTTTCCTGGAAGGGAAAGATTGTTCCTCACTGGAACAACCGCAAGCCCCAGCCCTGACCGGGGGGCCCCCACCAGTACGCTGAAGACTCTCCTCAAGCTGGGAAAGGAATTGAGGGAGACAGAGACACAAGTGGGAAAGTCGTGAGGATGAGAAGAGAGACCACCGCAGGAAGGAGCTTTCCCTTAGGGTGAGGACCAGACTTCACCTCACAGATATGTGAAAGCAGCAGACAGTGGCCTATATAAAAAGTTCTAGGCCAGCCTGGGCTACATACAGGACACTCCATCTCGATAAAAAATAAATAAATAAATAACAGAAAATCAGGCAGAGAAGTAAAAGTAGGTAGAAAGGAGCTCAAAGGGGGGACTGCTTAATATCTAGATTTTTTTTAAAAAAAATGTGGAATTCTTCACAAATTTATGTGTCATCCTCAGGCAGAAGTCATGCTACCTTTCTCTGTCATTCCAATTTTAATATATATGCTGTCAGTGTGTGTGTGTGTGTGTGTGTGTGTGTGTGTGTGTGTATCTGTGTGGGGGTATAAACACATGAATGCAGGTATCCAAAGAAGCCAGAAGGGTGTCAGGTCTCCTGGAGCTGGAGTTGCAGGGCATTCCTGGCCCCCCAAGGTGGGTACTGGGACCCAAACCTGGGTCACCTGCAAGAGCAGGACGATCTCTTAGCTGCTGAGCATCTTTCTAGCCCCTGGGAGCCCAGAGCTTACAACAAGGTGTGAGTGCGGCCGGGAAGAGGCCAGGAAAAGGCATGTAATAATAACGGTGTCACTTAGAGACCAGAAGGCAGTGCTCACTTGCAGCTGGAACGTGCTGTCTCCACAGACCCGGTCACGCTGGTGCTTCAACAACACAGTGCCCGAGGACTGATGCTTGAGGTCATCCGGGCCTCGGCTCAGGAAGGTCACCCGTGGGACCTGACCCCGGAGCCTCCGGTCTGTGTCCCCATCTAAGATGTAATCCAGGGCTGTGGCATGGAGGGAGAAGAGCGAAGTCGGTGAGCTGAGGACCCTGTTCCCGGGGTGCCCTCCTCTCTACCCTGGAAGCCATCCGGGTGAGGACTCACCCACTGCAGGGTTGTAGCTTCTGGGCTCAGCAGTGTAGCTGAAACAGATCCTTACGTCCACGCTGCAGGGCAAATGGAGGCTCTTGAGCAAGCAAGACCCCAAACCCCCTTCTGCCACAGCCCAGACCCACACTAAGGAAGAGAGGCAGAGGAAGCAAGTGCGGCGTCCTCCCCCGCTCCCCCTTCTCGTCTCTCCTCACCAGACCAAGCGTCCATCAGCGCAGTTGGGCTGCTCCAGGTCGATGGCTCTCGGGGCAATGAAGATCTCTTGGGAGACGTGAAGAACAGGTCTGGCCCTGGGCACGGAGAGTTCATTGGGTAGGGAAGGAGAGGCTGTGAGGTTAGGCGCCCTCCGCAGGTTCCTAGTGAGACGGGAATGAAGTCGGAGCTACAGGAGGGTCGGACAGCCCGGCGGCCTACCTAAAGAGCGCAGCAGTATCAGCCAGGGAGCCCACGAGCAGGTCGGGGTAGTCGTTTCCGTCCACATCCAGGCCACCGGACAGGGAGTAACCAAAGCTCTTGATGCTCACAGCCTCACCCTCCAGCACCTGGAGACCAAAGAGTCAGCCTCCTCGAACCCCAGTTTTCCCAAGCCCCCCTCCCCTGCCCCCAGCAGCCCTTACTCCCCCCAGGATCATCCCCTCACATCCACGACTCCCCTCACCTGTGAAGGTTTGACAACCACCCCCAGGCTGCTTCCGTGGTAGATAAAGACTTTCCCATCTCCATCAAAGGGCGCTCCCACGGCAATATCTGGGGGGCATGAGAAGAAGCATCATGGGGCTGTGGAGGAGGATGGACAAGGGCCATACCCAGTTTCCCTCGTCCAAGTCCTGCAGGATACGTTTCCAGTTGCATTGAGGAACTGCACACATCATTTTTCAATCCTCGTGGCCGCTCCCTCCAGATATCACTAGCTCAGCTTGGCTGAGTCATAGTGGAAATCCACTCCACCCCTCCCCGCACTGAGCTTTCCCAATCCCAGTCACACCTGGGAAGCCATCTTGGTTGAGGTCCCCTAAGACAGCCAAGCTGATTCCAAACATGGAGTCGGGGGAGCCACAGATCCGGAGAGGAGGGACATCTGCCCAGTGGCCACCCTGGTTCATGTACACATACACAGCACCTCCCAGCTCTTCTTGGCGCTCAAAGAAGTAAGGGGCACCCACAATCAGGTCTGGCCAGCTGTGGAAGAGAGAGACAGTATGGGGCCCTCTAGACCAAGGGAGTCGGGACGAAGTGCAGAAGCCACTCCTGGACCCAGGGGCACACCCCTCTCGTTTCCTCTCACCCGTCATTGTTGAGATCAGCCACAGCCAGCGAGTAGCCAAAGCCGGAGGTCAAGCGCTCCCCAGACAAGACAACCTCGGGTATCAGGCGGCTGGCGCTATCCTTGCGCAGAATGACCACGGCCCCCTTGTGGTTGGCACGGGGAGCCCCAGCCACAAAACTCAGCTCTTCTGCACGCAAGAGACCCTTCCCAGAGTCGATGGAGAAACCTGGGTGAGGAGATCGGTTACTATGAGTGATTTCCCAAGAGCCGGAAGCCAGGTGAGTCCCCTGGAGCCACAAGAAAGAGAGAGTTGCTCCCCAGTCACCACCGCTATGTCTGGACTATTCCTCCTCACCCACCAGGGCCTAGAAATCCTGACAGCCCTCCTGGTCGGACACACGGGATGTGACATAGACTGGGTGGCTTGGTAAGAGGGCCTGGGCCGCAGCAACGGGAGCTGGGCCAGGGCTACCACCATTCATGCCCAGCCTGGGGAACTGGAGAGTGAGGGACGTCCTTTCACACCCCGGAGGCCCCTTGACATCCAATGCACCTTCTTTACCCCCATCATCCCTACCCTGCCAGGGAGAAAGTCTTTACATATATGGGAAGAAGACATGGCCACAAGGAAGAGCTTGCCTCACCCACATGTTTCCTGGACCACATTTCATCCTTGTTCGTATGCAGAAGAGGAGATGAACAGCTACGAGGGGACTCACCCACAAGGCTAGAGCTCCCTCCAACATCAGCCCATCACCCACCCCCAGAGGAAGTTCCCTAGAGGTCAAGACTGTCCTTCCAAGCAGGGTTAACCCTGGGCCCCTCACACCATCTGGGTATTCCTCCATGAAGGCCCGTGGCTCGCCGCCCTCAGGCCTGTCAATTGTACCTAATCCTCCCCTGCAGTTTGGGCCCAGCATGTATTTCCCTGGGCATATATATTGGGGGAGAGCCGGGAAGGAAAGGACACTCCCTGGGAGAGAAGCGGGAAGGCCAGGGCCACACCCCAGGGCCCAGGACGCAGGAGCTTACAAACCTAAATAACTATTCAAGGTCAAGTCTCCGGCTGGTCCTGTGAGCCGGTCAGCAGGGTCCAAAGTTTTATACACCAGCTGGTCAGGGTCTGAGCTATCAATGTTGGTCACAAAAAGCAACCCTGTGGGGGGGTGGGCAGGTCGGAGAGAAACACCAGGGGAAAGCCAGCAGGAGACGGGAACTCAGAGCAGGGAGCGAGAGACGGAGAGAAAGGCCAGAAGGCAAGAAGGAAAGGACAGGAAGAAAGTGAGCGAAACCAAGAAGCCGGACACAGAAGGACGGGAGCATGGAGAGAGAGGAAAAGAGAAAGGAGCAGAGAGTTAGAGTGGTTCTGGACCAGGGAGGGGGTCCCTACCAAAGTAGCTGTTGGCAGGGACCGGGATGAGGCTGGGGTCTTGCTCCTTCTCGCCCCCAGCCTCGTAGGGCCCGTCATCCAGGTCTGCCGGGTCCGACGAGCCCTGCACACAGAGCTCCACCCTGGCTGTGCCTGTAAGGACAGTCCTGTTAGTGCTCCAGGCGGGAGAGAGGCGCACCCCTCAGACCAGACACACACGGGAAGCCCCTCCCCTCCTCCTCGGCCCCTCCTCCTCGGCCCCGCCTCCACCACCTATCTCCCTAGCCCAAGCTTCTAGGGTCCCCGTCCCCCCCCACACACACACACACACACACACACACACACACGGCATCACACTCACCGAGTGTCAGTTCAGCCAGTGGAAGCGTGCAGAGACGGGAATGGCAGTGATGAGGCGTGGGCTGCTGCTGTGTTGGAGCATGCAGGCCCTGACCCAGCCGTGCATGTGGGAGCTCATGCCAACATGTAGATAAACACGCGGCCATGCGATGGAGAGGAGGGACCCCCGTTCATTTATGTGCCAGCAAGATGGGAGCGGAAGGCATGGCCGTGCCCCAGTTCAATACGCCAGTGAACTCGTGGTCATGCTTGGCCATGTGCTGCTGGCAATCCCATCTCTGCGGTAAGAGGAGGTTTTGGTCTCCTCCTCCTCCACCCTCCCCCCGTGAATGACTCACCCTTCCAGTTATAGGTTCCTGGAGCCCCAAAGACGAGGTAGTGTCTGTCGGGAGAGAAGGTGGCAGCCGTGCCCTGCTGGCAGAACCCAAACTGTTCGTGGCCCTGGGGGCGCCCCTCACAGAACTTCCACTCCCCGCCATCCAACTCATCGCGGATGGCCAGGTCCTGGCTTAACACAAAGCAGCGGCCAATCACATCCCGAGTCTCCAGGATCTGGTCCACCCTCTGTCGAGACTCATATCGGTGCGCACAGGTCTGTGAGAGAATGGGAGGTCAGGTCATTCCCCTGTGTTTACCAGGGACCGACATGCTGCTCAAATGTATGTAGACTTTTGGCAGACACACTCGCACGCGCGCGCGTACACACACGCATACACACACACACACACACACACACACACACAC